TATAGTAAAAAACTTTCAGAAACAGTCACATCTAACTTTTTTGCTACAGTAAAAAACTCTCACATAAAATTACATCTCAACTCGAATTATAAACTCGAATTAGCGAAGTGAACGGACTGACGTGAGTGGCCTTACTTATCCGTTCACTTCGCTGATTCGAGTTTGTAATTCGAGTTGAGATGTGATTTTATGTGAGAGCTTTTTACTGTAGCAAAAAAATTAGATGTGATTATTTGTGAGAACTTTTTACTGTAACAAAATTCGAATTCTAAACTCGAATTAGTGAAGTGAACGGGCCTTAAAGAATCTCAGCTCCTGCACTTTTGCTTTGGAAACCGTGAAAAGTTACTGGAAATACATTCAAAGCTAAAAGTTGAGGTTTTTGTATCATTTTGATATATATTTTTTTAAATTGGTGAATTAACAGAACAGTACAGGCTTCAACTCTTCAAGCAAGTGCCCATTATAACTCAAGCAAGTTGATTAGCAAAAAAAAAAAAAAAAAAAAAAAAAACCTAAAAAAACAAACATAAGTCAACCCTATATAGTAGATCCTACCTGATATATATTTCATGGTTATTGGTGAATAAAAACTCGTTGCTTTTAACGTAAGTACCGGTCAATTGGGCATATATTATACGGGTTTTTAGACATTTACTTTATAAATTTATCGTGATTTAATAAATTATTTTTAAAATTTTTAATTTTATTAAGTTATCTTCTTAATTTATAAATTTGTTATAATATTTCTTATTTTAATTATAATTATATTAAATTAGTGTCAAAAAATCACGTTAAACAAAAAATTTTAACATTTTAAATTAAATATAACACAAATATTTTAATATTTCAACTTTTAATCTCTTAAATTTAATAAAAAATTTGAACAAATTTAATTAAATAGAGCACATTATAACAAATGTACAAGTTCGGAGATAACTTGTCAAAATTAAAAATTCAGGAGACAATTTATTAAATCACGACAAGTTCAAATGACAATTGTATCAAAAATTCTTATTATATAGATTGCAGTATAGTTTCTTTTTGTTGATGAAGTGAACGGGCCTTAAAGAATCTCAGCTCCTGCACTTTTGCTTTGGAAACCGTGAAAAGTTACTGGAAATACATTCAAAGCTAAAAGTTGAGGTTTTTGTATCATTTTGATATATATTTTTTTAAATTGGTGAATTAACAGAACAGTACAGGCTTCAACTCTTCAAGCAAGTGCCCATTATAACTCAAGCAAGTTGATTAGCAAAAAAAAAAAAAAAAAAAAAAAAACTAAAAAAAAAAAAAAAAAAAAAAAAAAAAAACCTCTATAAGTCAACCCTATATAGTAGATCCTACCTGATATATATTTCATGGTTATTGGTGAATAAAAACTCGTTGCTTTTAACGTAAGTACCGGTCAATTGGGCATATATTATACGGGTTTTTAGACATTTACTTTATAAATTTATCGTGATTTAATAAATTATTTTTAAAATTTTTAATTTTATTAAGTTTAGTAGATCCTACCTGATATATATTTCATGGTTATTGGTGAATAAAAACTCGTTGCTTTTAACGTAAGTACCGGTCAATTGGGCATATATTATACGGGTTTTTAGACATTTACTTTATAAATTTATCGTGATTTAATAAATTATTTTTAAAATTTTTAATTTTATTAAGTTATCTTCTTAATTTATAAATTTGTTATAATATTTCTTATTTTAATTATAATTATATTAAATTAGTGTCAAAAAATCACGTTAAACAAAAAATTTTAACATTTTAAATTAAATATAACACAAATATTTTAATATTTCAACTTTTAATCTCTTAAATTTAATAAAAAATTTGAACAAATTTAATTAAATAGAGCACATTATAACAAATGTACAAGTTCGGAGATAACTTGTCAAAATTAAAAATTCAGGAGACAATTTATTAAATCACGACAAGTTCAAATGACAATTGTGTCAAAAATTCTTATTATATAGATTGCAGTATAGTTTCTTTTTGTTGATAAAGTAGACTGTAGAATAGTTGGAATCAAATAAAGTATATACTATATAGAGTTGAAAAAAGAAAACATAACCTCATTCAACCAGTAATGCAGGACCTGTTAAAGCCTAAAGGGATTGTTTCTTCTTTCATCCAAGGAAGGTATTTCTCAGGCTCTTTCAAAAACCCGTGAGATTTTCATGATCATGACGGGCATATGAAAGCAATGTACTAAAAGTTTGTTTAGTTTATTGATTTAAGTTTTAATTTGAGTTGAGATGTAATCTCGTTCAGTTTACGGATTCAAGTTTTCAGTTAGAATTGAGATGTAATTTGACGTTAGAGCTTTTCACTGTAGCAGAAAAAGTTAAATGTGATTTTTTTATGAGAGCTTTTAACTGTAGTAAAATTAAAAACTCGAATCGGAGAAATAAATGAGATTTTTATATGAGAGTTTTTTACTATAATAAAAAAGTTAGATATAATTATTTTTGAGAATTTTTTACTATAATAAAACTTAAATTTTAAACTCAAATCGGTGAAATAAACTGTATTTATATACACTCCAATGCTCCTGATAATCCACGTAATGTTGCTTTTTCATTGCACGGACATGATTGAAAGGACTGTCACATCTCCGTTAGTTTTAGCCAACGGATACAATTACATGTGCCCTTTGCTTTCTGTCAATCAAGTAACTGGCCAGCACTCGTGACTCACCCTGGATTTAGCAAAAAAATCAGGATGTCGCTTTCCTAGAGTGCCTTTTTTTTTTAGGATAGGGAAAATTATTGCCCTTAATACGTTTGAGGTTAAAGTGATTATCCAACTATAAGAGGATATTTAATTGATGAATTTAAAATTATAATTTAAAATTATTTTTAATTTATATATATTTTTTATGAGAGAAAATATTATAGTGAGTTACGAATATGTTTTAAATTATGTCACGAATATTTGAACCAAACGCACTCATGTTCCGGGAGCATCTCCAACACAACATTAAATCAACTATTAAGACATCGTTCATTTTACTGATTTAAGTTTATAATTCGAGTTTTATTACATTAAAAAGCTCTCAGAAACAATCACATTTAACTTTTTTACTACAATAAAAAACTTTCATATAAAGTCAAATTTTAACTCGAATTAAAAACTTGAATCAACGAACTAAACGAGCCCTAAATTTTTGTAATTAAATAGTAAGTTTATTCTCAGGTGCAATAATATTTGTATTGTATTGATGCTAAATTTAACCTAAACTATACGCAATGACAAATTTGATATTAAATATAACATTGGCCAAATTTGACATTTAATTATCATTAATTGATGCCTTAATTTTTTTATTTGATCATTACAATATTAACATGTCAAATTATTTTAAAATATATATATTTTATAATTTTCAAAACCTAATGGCCCTGTTTGTTTATTTTTGTTTTTGTTTTCATTTTTCACGTTTTTCGAAGTTAAAAAATGAAAACGCAATCTAAAAATGCGTTTGGCGCAAAACTTTTTAAAAAACAAAAACAAAAACGTTTTTATCTTTTTGTGAAAAACTGAAAACGGTATAATACCATTTTCATTTTCTTCTTTTCCTTTTCTCACTCACAGAAGAGGGGAGAGTGCAAACAACCATTGGAGCTTGACTGGAACAAGCTTCTCTATGAAGGAGACGACGGCCCGCCACCATCTTCTCCGACTGCCCGCCACCCCTCTTCCGACTGGCACA